TATTATGTGATAAGCCAGGAAGCTAGGAATAATACATCCATAAAAAACGGATTCTTAGAGTTAGACAAACCTGGGTAGAAGTCACAGTTCTGCAGTTTACTGTGTTATTTTATCCACCCTCCACATTCCACCAGCCTTGGTCTCCTGATCTATAAGATGAGGGTACATGTCTTATGTTTTTTATTATTGTTGTTTGCATGGTTTAGAATTAAATGAAATAAAAAGTCTAGCACAGTACCTGACACCTAATAGTGTTCCTTTACTATGCAAATTGAAGGAAGGCAGATTATTATAGGACTATGAAAGAAATAGGTATTTTAAAAGAGGTTACATCTGCATATTTGAAATTTTCAAAGAATATAGTGATAAAGATTAGAAGGCAGGCTGCCTGGTGGAAAGTAAGGAACACAATATGTAAAAATAGAAAAGGTTTTCTATTAAAAAATGTAAGGCATTGATATGCATTTATATGTGAGCACATAGAAGGAATTAATATGGGGGTAGAGAATAGTTAGAACTGCTTCCTTGAAGAATCTAAGTTGAAACCTGAAGAAAGAATTAGAATCAGGCAGGGCAAAGGGAATGAGAGAGGTTTGGGTAAGTGTACTAGATAGCATGTGGATTCTGCCCTGTCAAAGGCAGTTGATTAGAGGAACTGCAAGTGGTTCCACAGGGCAAGAGACCTGAGTGTAAGGTGGGGAAAGGCTGATTGGGAGAGGTCAGCAGGAACCAGGTCTTCATAGGATTTTTTTCTGCTGTGTTCAGGAGTTTGGATCTTTTACCCTGAGCAGTGGGAATCATTGAAGCTTTACGTGTAGGAATAATATGGTTAGTTTTAAATTTTAGGTTATTTGTGCTGAATATGGAGAACGGATTGAAGGGGACAGATCTGGAGGCAAGTGTGGAACTCAGCTAGGAGGCTTTAGTGCAGGCGAGAGAGGATAATGAGACGGAAGTGGATGATTTGAGGTATTTAACAGATGGATGTGATTTAGAGAGTAACGGGGTGTGGAGAGTGAGTCAAGGATGATTCCCAGGTTTCTGGAATTAAGATCTCTTCTTTAAAAATTGTTAAATTAACAAAAATAATATAAGTTACCATTAGAACTCTGAGGCAACAGGTGCAATCATGATATTTCTGATAGCACTGTAAAGTCATCTGGTCATCTTGGAGAGCTTTACAGCAGCAGGAAGTAAAAGCTATAGTAATGTTAATCCCTTTTGACTCATTCATCTCACTTTTGGGAATCTGATTCAATAAAAATGGCTGTAAAATTTTTGTACTCTTTGTCCAGATATTTAAAATCAATGCTATTTATTACAGAAAAATTGGGAACAACCTAAATGTCCCAATAACAGAAGAACAGACTTTTTAAAAATATATCAATAGGGTGAAAATGCTATTATAGCCCTTAAAAAAGAAGAAACCACATCCTGTGGATGAATAAAGAAAATCTCTCCCTCTCCCTCACACACACACACACACACACACACACACACACACACACACACACACACACACACACACACGAACATTATTCACCCGTAAGAAAGAAGGAAATCCTCCCATTTGTGACAAAATTGATGAACTCTGAGAGCATTATGTAAAGTGAAAATAAGAGAAAGACAAATACTGTATGATCTTACTTATATGTGGAATCAAAAAACAAAAACAAAACACAACATGAACTCATAGAAACAGAGTAGATAGATGGTTGCTTGGAGGGGGAAGTGGGGGCATGAGTGAAGGTGGTCAAAAGAGTACAAACTTGGAGTTATAAGATGATTAAGTTCTGGGGATGTAATGTACAGCATGGTGACTATAGTTAACAATACTATATTGGATACTTGAAAGTTGCTAAGAGAAGAGATTTTAAAAATTCTCATCACAAAAAGTAACTGAGGTGATGGATGTATTAATTAACCTTATTGTGGTAATCATCTCACTTATAAAATCATAATGTTTTATACCTTAAACTTACACAATGCTATATGTCAATTATATCTTGAGGGGGTAATTAGGTTAATTTATTTATTAATTTTTTTTTAATGGAGGTATTGGGGACTGAACCCAGGACCTCATGCTTGCTAGGCACGCATGCTACCACTGAGCTATACCCTCCCCCTTCCATTGTATCTTAATAAAACTGGGAACAACAGCAGCAAAAAAAGACCACGTCCCTTGTAAAATTATTGTACATGCCAGTTATGAGAATGTAAAGAGCTCCGTATAGTTTCAGGGCTTGAAGTTACTTTAGAATAGGATAAGTAGTTGGTATTTTTTTTAGGAGGAGGTAATTAGGTTTATTTTATTTATTTATTTTTTAATGGTAGTACTGGGATTGAACCCAGGACCTCATGCATGCTAGGCACGCACTCTATCTCTGAGCTGTAACTCCGCCTAGTAGTTGGTATTTTAACTGGATTTTTTTTTCATTTTTTTGATGTTTATGTGTAAAATGATTTAACAGGGTTGAGAGAGTCAGCAGTGACCTGGCCATCCCTGCTCATGACAGGCAGCTTTAGGAGAACAGGGGATAAAGGAAAGGGAAGGAAAATTAGGTCGAGCCATAGGAGAGAAGACCATTAGAAAAGTTGTATTTTAGGAGGAAGAATGTGGGAATAGAGCACAGCCTCTCTGTCTTCATTACCTGGCAGACCCCAGAGATGGCAGGTTAATATCAGCTTATTTTGCATTTAACTAACAGTTTTCATTTAGCTGCTAAGAGATTTCATTTCCTTCAAGTGCATCAGTGGCTGAAACTTTTATAATAACTAGGGATAGCTCATATACTTAAATAGATTTACTTTAGTTTGGTATATCATTAAAACTCTATAAACTGGACCAGGAGGAAATAGGGGTTGTTAATTAGCAAGAGAGTTTGAAGAAAAGTTGGAATTAAAAAAAATATATTTTTACCTTTAGTTGTGTTAAATTGGTGGTTGAAAAGTAGATTTCTATTAGTTACTAAGGAAAATAAGTTCAGGCCTCAGAAATTTTAGACATTTTAGCTGATTTCATTGATGTATGTTAAATACAACATCCATCCAGAAGAGTGGGTCATTTGGATGCTAGGAGAACATCTAGAATCTAGTTTAATTGTAGAATATTTTTAAATGAAAGTATTTTGATGTGTTACACTGACAGTGGTGAAAATGCTAATTATAAATGGAGTAGTTTTGATATAGGCAGTGAAGGTGAAGGAAAGTAGCTTGTAGTGAGTGAGATTTCCAAGGCATTTGCCAAAATGAGTGGATGAAATAGACTGAGATGAGAGGATGGTGGATGGGAGAAGGAAGCAAGTTGCTAGAATGACAGGTTTCTAGTTAAATTTATTCCTTCATTCATTGGGCAGTAAAAGGGACTAGGGGTGGTACAGGACAGCCATTTGGATTATTAGCTGCATATGAACCTTGCAGAAAGAGCTAGAGATAAGGGATCCTAATAAAGATGAGGTGGTTAGTCATCAGTGGTAATGAGACTAGAGATGATGTAAATAGGAGTGAGAGATTTGGCAGCTGTTTGAATGAATAGGCCCACTGCTCTCAGCTGATTAGGAGGGTACAAGGGGGCACTTCTGGATTTGGACAGAAAGCCATTATAGTAATTAATGTACTTCACTGCTTACAAAGCTATTTCACACTAATTCACTCATGTGATACAACAGCTCTGTGAAGTAGGTATTGTCTGCATTTTACAGGTGAGAAAACTAAGGCTCAGAGAGATTAACCAAGTGGTTCTCAGTTCTGGCTGCACATCAGAATTTTGTGGGAGATCTTTTTGAAATACAGAGGCTTGGGCCTCACTCCCAGTGATTGTGAAATTGTTTTTAGGCTCCACTATTTGTGTTTTAAAAACATTCCCCTGGTGATTCGAACATGTAGTGATGCAGCAAGGGTTGACTGAATAGGGTGAGATGTCTGTCAAAGGCCATAAATCCAATATGTGGCAGGGGCAAAACTTGAAACCTGGTCTTTGTCTTTCATCTGATATTTCTTTCCAAATACAGTCATCAGAGCCGTATACTGGAAGTGATGGTGGTGGTGTATTAGTATCCAGTTTGATTTCTAGAGTTAAATTCTGGTTTTCAGTTTTAATTCTCTGCTCAGTTTCTGGAGAACAAGATGCTGGTAGTAATCACTTTTCTAGGCCTTCACATATGTTATTTCTTGTGCCTTTTTAGCATCCTCCCCTGCCCCCCACCCCGCCCCATTTGTCATCCCTCAGGCTTCAATTAAGGTGTTATCTCTCAGGAAGCCTGTATGTTTAGAGGCTACAAAAATGGACTTTGGGCAACTTTTTTTAAAGGAGTGTTTTAGAAAGATGGTGGTAGGTAGAACTGAACACAATGAAAAGAAAGGTTAAACAGCTAAGCCACACGAAGTTCAAGAACTTGGGCAGCTTTGGGGATTTCAGGGATAGGGGATCATCTCTATAAGGTATCTTAGCTCCAGCTGCCTTCTGTACCTGTTTGTCTCTACTCAAAATTCAACCTGCAGAGAGTCTAGCATAGAATAGGTCAATGTCCCTGTGGTCAAGGAGCAAGCGTTCTGTGATTAGTAGCCCCACAAGAACCCCACTGAATTAAGGAGGGGCAGTTCCCCAATGGGAGGGATGCTAGGCAGATCCAAACAAGAATCGCTCATTACAAAGCCTTTCCTGATAGCCCTCTTTACCTGCAAGTCTAAGTTCCCCTGTAGGTGCTACAGTGGCTCTCTACCCCCATTCCTATATTATAAACGCCTTTTCCTCACCAAACTGTAAGCTGCGAGATGGCCCAGCAAATGTCTCACACCTAGTAGGCACTCAGTGTTGGGTGAATGGAATTCCAGACAGACTTAAGTTAGAAACGGCAAACTGTGTTCTACTTCTTTTCCAAGGTAGGTGTCTACTACTGCATCTTTGTAAAGCCTGGCATCCTATGTTGTATGTTGTATGTTGACCCTCTGCCATTTTCACTGTTCCCTCTCTCACTTTTATCTCTTTCTCACCTTCTTAGGTAATTGCTGGCTTTAACCGCCTGCGGCAGGAACAGCGGGGCCTGGCATCGAAAGCAGCTGAACTGGAGATGGAGTTGAATGAGCACAGGTGAGGAAGCCGGGAGAAGCAAACAGTTGGAGAGTTGGATGGGCCATTTTCTAAGAGAGGGTTGCTGCAGAGTGGGATGGAATTCTCAGATCTTGCCTTGTCCTCTTTCCTCAGCCTAGTGATCGATACTCTGAAGGAGGTAGATGAAACCCGCAAGTGCTACCGCATGGTTGGAGGGGTGCTGGTGGAGCGGACCGTCAAAGAGGTGCTGCCTGCCTTGGAGAACAACAGGGAGCAGGTAAGCAAGAATCTCTGAGTAGAAGCTCTGGGCAACAAGGGGTAAGGAAGAGGAGTCCAGGGATTTAGGGAGTATGGGGGAGGAAAGTCTGGGTAGGAACTCATGTCGAAGACAGCATAAATAGCCTAGTAGCCTTTGTTCTTTAGGCTATGCTAAGTCTAACTCCTTAGGCAAAAGAGTTGCTGTGTGCCTCTTTCCATAGGCTCTGTGACCTGGCTGGGTTGGAAGAGGGGAGGTGGATAGAATGGTGTTTCTCACACTGTAGTCCATGGATCCTTGCATCCAGATCACCTGGATGACTAATTTAAAATGTAGCTTTCTGAATCTGCTGATTCAGAACCTTTGGGGATGGGATCCATAAAGTGGCATATTAAAAATAAGCAGCCCAGGTGATTCTTCTGCACACTAAGTTTTATAAACCATTGTTTTAAAGAAAGGAATACTTACAGTGTCTGGGCTCTAATATTAATACTTGGTTAAAGGTGAGGTTAGAGGTATCATCTCTCCTTCATTTCCCCAAGTCAAAGTCCATAACAGATGGGAGAAAGGAGTCCTGAAATCCTTATGTAATCCCTGTTGTTTGCCCTCTAGATACAGAAGATCATTGAGACACTGACACAGCAGCTTCAGGCAAAGGGAAAAGAACTAAATGAATTTCGGGAAAAGCACAACATTCGTCTCATGGGGGAAGACGAGAAGCCAACAGCCAAGGAAAACTCAGAAGGGGCTGGGGCTAAGGCCAGCTCAGCTGGAGTGTTGGTCTCCTAGGGAGCAAGGCCTTTGCATTTTTTTCTACCCTGATTCCCACTTCTAATTTCTCTTTATTGTTATTGTTATTATTTTGTCTGCTGTTGTAATATTTTTTTTGTTAATTAAATGTTTTGGTCAGAATGTTTATCTCTAGTCTGAAGCTTTCTCCCAGTACTAGAGGCAGAATTTGCATGGGGCACGGACAAGCATATAATTTGTGGTTTTGCTTCCATCAGGTTAATGGCTCATAATATCAGACTAGGTCCCATATTTTACTGTTTCCCTTGCAAATAAAGATACATACCCTATTTACTGCTCTCCTCCCAAGAAGATTCAGAGACAAACGTTGACTCTCGGGATGAAATTTAATGAGCTTTCAAAATGAGGCAGATCTGGTGACAATGCTTTATGAGTTTGCAACAAAACAGAGGCTTGGCAATATATCTTGGCACTGTTCTTTAGATAAAGAAGTCCAAGATGCAAACCTGTGAACTAGCTGTCCTGCCATCCTCACCGAAACCCCCAACCAGGTAAAGCTGATCATTCCAAAGGCAGGTCCGATGGCCCGTGCGTTTTAGCCCGTGGTCTGCGCAGGGAAAGTGGAACCACAGAGAAGGAGACTTGCCTGTTGGGTAAGGGCAGAGGGTGGTTATTGAGGCAGTAGCATTTTGGTCCCCATGGGGCTCTTAACAGGACCAAAGTCTTGCCCGTTATTTTCCTCCTCACTTGATTTGTGGGCCTTTAAAATATTTAATATTCTGTTTATTCCTTCAACTTGTTGACTAATTCTTCCTCCTCCCTAACCCATTCCTCCATTCTCTTTCTTTCTGTAGTCCTCAGGTTCTCCTATCTTCCCACCTTTTACCCTTCTGAACCATTAAGCTGGCTCTCACGGGTATCGTAGATGTAGAGGTCATTGCAGATGGTGTCTCTGGCTCTGGTCAGAGTTTCTCCACCAAACAGCACAGCAAAGGGCCCAACCACAGAACATGAGTGATGTCGTAGTCCTCGAGGCCCCTGCCGAGACCCCTGGCCACTGCTCACAAGCCTTGCAAGCTGTTCCGTCAAACGGGGGGCAACAAGTGGTTCCTCCTTGAGGGATAAAGAAGGGACTGTCTGGAGGCATTTGGGCATCACAGTTTTAGCTCCCTTCCACCCTTAGCATGTGAGTAGATAATACCTTAATCCTCCCATGACTCCAACGCCCAGCTACTTCTGGTTCAGCTGAGTTGCACCCCCCAAAGAGCAATAGCTGGTGACCTTGGTGGAGCCCAGGACTTTGAAGCAGTGCAGCGCAGTGACCTGAGCGTGAGGCTGTATGGCAGCCTTCTTCCTTATAGCTGTGGATATGCAGAAATGCAGCCCTGAGTTGGGTTTTCTGAAAAATCTAAGTGCTGTACTGCCATCCCCCGATTCCCACCCCCCTTGTCAAGGATAGAAAGGAGGCAGGATTCAGTGCAGCAGTTCGGTTGAGAAGGGAGGGTAATATTGGTAGAGACTTTAGCTATCTTAGACATGAAAGAGTTCTGGGGAAGGAAGATGTGGATAAATTGTGTGCGAATCTACGTAGATAAAGGGTTTTGGGCAAGGGTGTCGTACCAATAAGTGCGGGCGCCAGGGTCCAGCCTTAACGTGTAGATGCTTCCATAACGACGCTGAGTGCGCGTCCCGCCCTCCCTGCCTGCCACCCGCAGCTCTCGATCGGAGAGGCGGGTACAGGTATGACTACTGAGGCCAGCAGGGGGGCAGTTGCCTTGGGCGGCAGTCCACGCCTCCCACACACCGAGCTCCGTGTCCAGGGCGGCCACTGTGGCCAGGCGACGCGACCCGTCCCAGCCGCCCACCACGCAGAGCCAACGCCCGCCCACTGGCGCTGCGTCGTGATGGCTGCGCCTGGGGCCGTCCTGGGTTCCTACCCGCACGGCCTGGCCCCCAGCCGGGTCAAAGACCACCGTATCATTGCTCGGCTCTCTCGCTCCTCCGGCTAGAAGACCCCCTACCAGATAGAACCGTCCCCGCAGTTCGGTGCATGAATGGAAGGCCCGGGCCAACAGCGGGTCCCGCGCAACCGGACGCCAAGTCCAGCCCGAGCCTCCCGCCCCACCCACCGCCCCAGCCATGGGTACAGGGAGGGGCGGGCTGCGGCGCCAGCAGTCTGGAACCCCCCTACATCGCGGCCCAGGCTTTCCCGGAACAGCCTCTATTCCCCTACCGGAAGCCGGTCCAGGTCCCCACCACAGGCCACCGGCTTCGCTCCGCCGTTGCCCAGCAACCACTGCCGCGGCTGCTGCACTGCCGCGGCTGCCGCCCCACCGCTGCAAACTGAAGGTCGCAAAGCACTGGTTACCATGGAGATAGGAGACTTGGGTAGCCATCAAGAACCATACAGTGTTGTCACCATGGCGACAGGAGCTTTTCGAGTTAAAAATCTTGAAAGATTAAATTCCGAAAGTCGGGGGATACCCAGTGAGTGAGAAAGATCCCTGTTATCTAAACTACAAATTCACTTGGGATTATGACATCTGAGGGGATGAGGAGGGAACCAAGTCCTTTTGGCTTTGGCGTTTCTAATAGGTACTGACCTCCCCAGAGATGAGCTAGAGGAGGTAAAAGTCAGAGGGAAGGCAGTGAAAGTGGACTAAGCACTGACCTGGGAGTCAGGAGACTTGGGTTCTGGTGCCAACTATATCTTGTCTCTCAAAGTGATTATTTTTCTCCAGGTCTTCTCTTTCTCATTTACAAAGTGTGCCTTTGGCTTCTCCCTTAGGAGAATACGACTATCCCGTAGTAAAGGCTTGAAGGTCCTAATTGACTGAGTGGGACAGTCCTTTTCTCTCTGGCCACTAGAGGGTAGTAGAATCTAGTCTCTCAGGGAACTTTGTAAGGGGAGGGGAGAGAGAGAAAGAGAGAGATTGGGGTGGGGGTGAAGAAAGGAAAATACCTTAGGCATACTTGAGCCTTGGAGAACTTTTCACTGTTGAGTTCTAGGAAGAGTAATTCCTTATTTCATCCTGTCTCATAGGCTTACACAGCACAAGGAAACTGAGGTACTGTGGCATCTGGAACTCAGAATTAAGGGCAGGGAGTTTCTCCTGATAAGATCCAGGGCAGAAGCTGCCCAGCCTTAGAAGCTGGATGGGAGTGAGGTAGGGGAGGAGTGAGAAGAACAGACTCCTGCCCCTCCCTGGTATCTTCCTTTTATTCAAGCCAAGTCCATGAGCTTCTTCTTAACTCTATCCCTCCAAGACCCGATGAAGAATAAAGAAGCCCAGATCCAAGCTGACTAGTTTTAGCTACAGGTGAAAATGCAGACAAATTTCTACTCCCAGCACAGCTGGAGTGGGACAGAAACAGGGCTTCTGTTCCCCAAGGCTGGGCTGTAAATAAGAGTGATGACTGCTTACTTTTGCCTTTGATTTCTACACATCAACTTGATCCCCATCATGCCCAAGAAATTGAGGGCATAGAGAGTGGCTAGGGCTGCACTGGGGATGGGCATGTAATTCAGGGATCTGACAGCATAACAGGGCTTTTCCTACTCCTGATAGTAACTCTCAGTCCTTAGAGAAAACAGCATGAGGAGGGTATGGGCAAGAAGATACCAGGACCTGTTTCCCACCTATAACCTTAAAGCTGAGACCCAATAGTAGCTTTGAAAGTCTCTATCCACCCAACTATAGCTTCCTCTGAGTCTGACAAAGAGGATCCTCAGTTTTCCAGATCATGGCAAAAAAAAAAAGTCTTAAAAAAATCACTAACTTCTACTGTCCTTGGTTGAAATCTGAAAGCTAGTCTTTTCCCTAAGGCTCTGACTGGCTAACCTCCCAACAGCTGGATTCGGATCTGTCACACTCCTACGATTTAGATGAGGAGCTGCCTGGGGGGTGGTGTCATTTTGCTTAAACCTTATTGGTTTATATGCCCATTTTAGGCTATTACTTTTGCTTAAGTCTTTGGCTGCTCTGCCAGACTTATTTTCTGCCTCTTCTGGATAGAACAGGGAACTCCCCACCCCAGGGGCCTTTCCAGCTCCTCTCTCCCAGCTTTGTTTTCCTTCTCCTCCCAGCTTCCACTTTGACTCTGAGTCCTCAGCAGTTGGCATCTCACTTGAACATGGAGCCTGAACCTCACATATTCCTTGAGTGTATCCTCCCCCTTTCCAGTTCTGCACCTCCTTCACTTCCAACTAGTAGCTAGAGGTGTCTATCCATTTCTGCTCCTGGGGAAGGACTCCTACCTCCCCAGTTTAGTTTGACTCAAGCTCATATTTTGAAGAAGGCAGAAAAGAAATGGAGGAGGGGGAAGAAGAAGAAAAGAGAGAGAGAGAGAAAGAAAATAAGCCTGTTTGCATTTGTCTAAACCATACTTGACTCCCCAGGGCAGCATCTAAAATGGTCTATAATGACCTTGTCAATGATTAAAAAAACAAAACAAAACAAAAAGAAAAACAAAAACTGAAAGGGCATTAAAATAAAGTGAAAGGCACACCTGAGAGAGAATTGTTAGAGACAGGGAGAAGGGCAACCAGGGCTCCTCCTCTGGACCTGCTTTCACCTGCTAACAATGTACAGGGACAATCTCTGTCCAGGCGTGGGGATTGGAGCAGATCATCCTGAAAGTCTTAGAATCCTGATGTGATCCATGAGTTTGGTCTCCTCAGATGGCTGTTTCTGGCAAGCAAGGATCCATACAGCTCAGCTTTCCAGTCTTAGTCCAGCCCCAAACCTGTACCCTCTTGTCTCAAACCTCCACAAAACAATTGGTCTATCTTCTCCTTCCCTTGACCCCATTTTCTGACCCTGGAACCATCCCTGGTTCTCAGCATTGTTCAATACATCTAGAAAGTAAAAAATTGGACCCTAGGGGTCTTAGTCACACTCTCAAGACTCTCTTAGTTCCCTCTGCCTACATCTCTCAGGCTCTCCCATCCTTCAGGCCCTCTCTCTGGCTCTTCCTCTATTGTCCGCTGACCTTTCTACATTTTTCCCACATTTCATTCTGGCCACTTGATTTCCTGGCCCCATGCCTTCTTGGCGCCAGTTCTGGCTCTTTGCTCTCAGCTCAGCCAGAATAAGGACATGGACAAACAGAAGGACAGAGGAATGACCAGGAAAAGAGACTCCAAGAGACCAGATCTTGAGATGT